CGTAGGCACTGCTCCATAACTCATTAAGGATGATCCAGTGATTACGCAGTGTGAATAGTATACTTTTCTCACTGCTTAATTATTGGATCAATCCGCCAATGACGTCATCACACCCCATATAAGGGGCTGATAGCCCATTCACTCTGTGCATTTACTGGAAACATCCGCCCTCCGGGGAGTGCGGTGGAGACAGGTCCCTGAAGCAGTGAGCGGGAGGAAGGTCGAAGCCAGCTTGAATACAGCAGGCATTTTTGATTCCCCCCCACACCCCACCCTGATAATAATAAGTGGATATGAAGGGACTTGTTTTCATCGCGCGACTCCGGCACTGCTCCATAACTCATTAAGGATGATCCAGTGATTACGCAGTGTGAATAGTATACTTTTCATACAAGTACTGTATGGATTGAGTTGGGAATAGGCATTACATTATTTATTGCCTTCAAGCTATCCAATATCACAACGATTCAAAAAAACTCTGAAAGTTTCAAATGAGAAATGAACACAAGGCTAGCATACAGATGTTACTCAACTTACTGTATAAGTAACAACTGTTCAAAGATTTTTCATTGGTGATTAATTTTAAAGACATGTAGAACCAACTTCAGTAGCACAGGCTGTATTCATCTCATGGAATACTTTGATGTATATGTACATGTTCATTACATCTTCATTTTTCTTTTCTGTATTCCTACCCCCTCTTTCTGTGTGTTTGTGTCACTTGTCTGTGTATAAATAAATAGGCTTTCTACATTTTCAATGCTCTCCCTTAAACGTTAACATTGACTGAAGATGTGTAAAATTCAAAAGGCAGCATGACAGACTGGCTTGCTGCACACATGAATGCCAAATGCAATACTTGAACCCTAACACTTTGGGATGATCGATTTGACATTCTAAATGGGTGCCGGCTTTCAGACCACGTTTGCAAAGACATATGACAAATGCAAGAAGTATACATCTCAAAAGTTTTTCAGCCAATACTAATACCTAATGATGAACATACGGCGTGGTTGTGTGCATGTAATAGTAACTGTGGTTTGTGTACTGTATGGTGCAGTGTGTAGTACATGTCTGTTGTATTCTGTATGTGCAGGTATCGAGGCCACGGACGTCACCAATCTGCTCGAACAGTTTGAAGAGAAAGCAGAAGGTACAACTACAACTGTACAATTTTTTATAGCATAAAGTCTTTTGCATTTACACATAAAACAGACAGGGCAAACTCTTCCATTCTTAGCTAGATAGCAGCACATTTGCAGCCTTATCATGACTTCCCAAGAATCGATTTCTCCTCATGTGCACTTGTAATGGCAGTCCTGGGTGGGGGAGAGTACCCTCTACTAGCATTTTCTATAAGCACAAAATGTTGCTCTGAACAACCTCTTGCAACACTGTAGACACCACAATTTGAGGAATAGAAAAAAGAAAAGGGCATCAGTGGATGAGATTGCAATGATGTTGGAAGGGAGACATTTTCCTACAAAAAAGGAATTGCCAGCTGCACTTAAAGCAAAGAAAAGGTGCTCTACGTAGCACTGAGATTGTCCAGAGTGCAAATCCCTAAAGAGCCTCTACATTTAGTTACTCCCTGGTGTTGACCTAAGTCACTGCAGTGTGGCAGAGAGGAGTCTTAATGTAGCGAGTGATTCATGCTGCCGCCTTAATGGAAGTGTGATGTCAATCTCTCCTCTAGGTCCACCAAAGAAAGCCAACGGAAGGATGCCATACCTCAGACCTAACCTACAAGCAAGGTGAGTTATAACTCAAGATGGAACCACTTCTTCTGTATAAAGGTGCTAGATGAGACATTTTCTGTGATTCAGTACTGCCGGGTAATCTGGACTCATGGCTATGTCTTGTATCTGAAGCACGCTATTCATTTTAACAACATTCATCACAGTTTCATCGATACTTCCAGTCATTGAGGGGTAACTGCCATGCTTTAATAACACGTTTTGTTTAGTAACCGTCTTTATGACCACTGTTTTACCTACGAATCTTAATAAGTATTTTATTCTGCAATGCAAACTTATTAACACTTATAAACTTATTAGATTTTATCATATGTGTATATGTTGTGATAGATGTTGTTTGATTTTAAAGCTTTTAATGGGATGGGCTACATCTTTAGTCTTAATCTTTGTAATTGTGAGTAACACTGCAATTCAGAACCCCTGGGTTCTGCAAAACTGTTTTACATTGTCATCAATAAACCAGTCATTATAATCTGACATCTGAATGATATGAAACAGCTACCACTGACTCAGGTAGTGACATGTATCAAATAATTGCAACCTTTTGTACATGCTATTTTTTTTATTGTGCAAATGTGCTACAAGTTCCCTCTGTGCATCTTTCAGCCCTTCCATAGCACACTATTGTACATGTAAGTTTTGCTTATCTGTTGCCTTTATGTTTACAGTTCAAAACTGGCTGCTCTTGTGACTGCCAATGGGATGTCCCTGGACAAATCTAGTAAGTAACAGATTACAATGGATCTGGGAACTGAACACTAATTGCCTCTCAATTATTAATAACAAATAAATTTACTAATAGTTCTCCATCATGTAATCATAGTACCTTTGACCAGTATTATTAAGAGTATGATGGTTGAATCTTAGGGTAACGGTAGGGGAAAGTATCTTAGGAATGATTATTCACATATATGCATGTTTTAATTTCCCAGGGAGAACAACCGACCGACTGAGGGCTCTAATCAGCAGTACAAGGAAGGGGGCCATTCTTACTGACCCGCTACCTAAAAAGTCTAGGAATTACCAGTCTTCCAGCAAGTCTTCCAAGGGGAAGAATGTAGACCATCTCAAGAACCCAAAATCTCCCAAGTCTGTCAAGTCCAAGGGCAAGAAGGTCGTTAGTAAGAGAAGGAGGACTTCGTGTGACTCTCAGAAGAGCCGCAGCGATGACTCCGGGACGGACAGCCGGTCCAGTGACAGCCTCCCGCAGTTGTCTGTGTCCAGCGACTTGAAAAATGGCGACAGCGCCCTTTTCTTGGATCACGACTACTGTCACTCCTACCTGGTCCAACAGGTGCAGGGAGACACCAGGTGTCGGTGTAGGAACCGCTCACAACCCCAGGAGTCCGGTCACAAGCCTGACACCACGGGAGACGCCAACACGGGGCCTGAAGGCCAGTCTTTGTTGCAAGACATGTGTGTCCCCATCGCAGAGTGTACACCAGAGAAAAACACTGAAGGAGAAGACCTTCCATCCCTCCAAGGATTGCTGGAGAAAGTCAAGGAAGAGAATTCTGATACCCAGTCGACAGTAGACCAGGAAGCTAATGTATCAGAAACAACATCCCAAGTGGACAAAGACACCAAGCAATCTGTAGATGCAGTAGAGCCTGATGCTGAAAAAACTCAGGAAGAGCTAGAAGCAGAAATGGAGGAAGGAGAGCTCCCAGAGTCAGACGAGGAGCCTGGCTTCTTCTCCAAACTCCCACCTTACATCAGCAGCGGTAAGATCATGCCCACTCCCACAGCCAGTCGGGAGAACTCTCGACCTTCCTCCCCTGTGGAGGCACAGCCGGCAGCTACAGCCTCAAACGAGCAGGAAAAGGAAGAGGACGGCAGCTTTATCTCTCGACTACCAGGCTACATGGAAAGTGGCAAAGTGTTCATTCCTCCCGAGGCAAACAAAGAAAACTCTAAAGCAGACAGCCTGGCCCACGAGTCAGACATGGACATCAGTGAGGAGGAGGAGGAGGATGCAGAGCACTACTCACGTCTTCCAGAGTATTATCAACCTACAGCTGGGAAAAGTAGGACTTGTTCTCCGTCTTCAGATCGCGAGGACGGCAGGAGACGGAAAAGTTCCACAGACAGAAGGAGAAGCTGTAGGACTAAGGATGTCTTGAAGGAGAATTCAAAGCATCGGTCCAGGTCCCACTCTCGGTCCCGCTCTCGATCACATTCTTACTCTAGGTCACATTCTAGATCTCATTCCAGATCGTCTAGGAGATCAAGGACTCGGTCCTGCTCAAGGTCGCGCTCTCGTTCAAGGTCACCGTACTGGTCACGTTCGCACCCCAGACATTCCAGCCGACTGCGGCGTAGCAAGCGGTCCTCACACGACGAACGTGAATACCTGCGACAGGAGCAGCTCCGGAAACAACGGGAGCAGGAGATGAAACTGGAAGAGAAGAAGAAGAAAATTGTGAGTGTACCTCTCACTTTGGTAACATCAAATCACACAATAAAGACCATCTCTTTACTATTAACCTTCAGCCTGCGAGTGCTAAGGTAGCCATTTGGCACCAAATTTGTATTGATAATGGGGTTCTATCGTTAGGCAGCAGGGAGAAGCAAGATATTATCTGAGTAGTGCATTTCATGATAGCATCATTTGTGGGGGGAAAAGAGGTAGATGGCAAGAGACAGCACATTTCTTATACATTGCTCTCATATGACTACACGGCTAACTGCATACACATTGTGCAAGAAGGACTGTCTGCAGCTGTAGGCTGTTTCTCACAGCAGCTGCAGACACATGTAGAGCTCAGTGTATCATCAGGGCAAGGATGGATCGTTTGGGGCTTTCCAGTTCATTATAGTCTCCCAGGAATGCCCACTTGACATTCTTCATGCTAACGCAGCACGTTTTCTACACGCAACACATGAGCTGATGATAATCATGACTATGAAAAGGAAAGAGCTTTCATCTCCAATGCCTGTGTTGGTAGTCATGCTGTAGTGAGTGCCAACACTAATTTGGTTCTAGCATACCGGTACATGCATAGAATTATGGCTGCATGTAGTTCCACTTCACAAAATGTAGGTACATGTATATGCCCTATGCTAGTAAGAGTAAATGTATACATTATGTGTGTGTGTGTGGACTGTGCTGAACTGATACAGTGAAGATGTTAGAATTTAACATGCTGTGTTTGTGCTGACAGGAGGAGAGACGTGTGGTGTACGTTGGGAAGATCCGTGTCGGAACCACGAAAGGGGACCTTCGTCGGCGTTTCCAAAGGTTTGGGCCCATCGAAGAAGTCAGTGTTCACTTCAGGGATGCAGGGTGAGGGAGCCATTGTCCTGTTTCTTCCATGCTTCCTATGATTTTGCACTTACTGATGTACTGATAACTTACAATTATTGTTTAGCTTAAGGGATTATTCTGAATAATTCTGAGCACACTTTATGATACAAAGTCTCATATGTCTCTTATTCATTGTAGGGACAACTATGGCTTTGTTACCTTCAAGTACACCTGTGACGCGTTTGCTGCAATAGAAGGTAGGTACATTTCTGTGCCCAAGGTTTCTCCTTTCAATGTAGCTTTTGTTAGATGTTACATTGTTACAAATCTATATGGGAATGTCCCTCCCCAATGGTTAATTGCTCAAGTAAGATTTGTCCCCCACTCAGTTTAGTTTGTTGATACTAGTACAATGTCAAGAGAGAAAATCGTTATCTCATCTTAAGGTCATTATTAAATGCTCACAAACAAAATACTTCCTTTGAACAGAGGGAAATCAGGATCTTGGTCCTCGTGAGGCTGTGTACGACCTGTGCTTCGGAGGCCGAAGGCAGTTCTGCCAAACTGACTATGCTGATTTAGGTAAGTCCATGTTTTTTCTCTTATCTGCATCATCTACTGTGTTTGTGCATCCATAAGTTGCAGTGTTGAAAAAGTTAAGTGTCGTGTCTAACAAAAAGTTAATTTTCTTCTTTACAGACTCCTACCATGGTTCCCTGTCCACAGACAGGCAGGGTGGCCGCAGTAATGGTGGTAGATATGACACAATGGACTACGGTGAACTGCTGCGACAGGCACAGAAGAAATCCTCCCGTGGCAAAAGATGACATGGCCTTTCTTCTCTGTAACTCAAGAGGTCAAAGAACTGTACCCCCTGCTCTCTAGGATGGTGTTTCTGAGAGGTGCTCAAGTCAGAATCCCCAAACACCAGGCTACTGAAGACCTGTGACCAACCACATCAAAGTTGCAGATACATGTAGATCGTTAGATGTAATATAGAAGCAATACAGACAAGCAAGCCAGTTTTCAGCTCTAAATGATCTGCACAATGGTATGCAACCGTCGCCAAGTCTCAAGGGAAAAGTCTTCTGCTAGTACAGTTGTAGCTGTCAAGTTATCGTCACAGATCTGGACAAAGTTGGCCATGTGCATCATACTCATCATGACATGACTCATGGCTGTAGGCCAAAGGTAGAATTTGAATTCAGTTAAAGTGTTAACCAAAATGCAGGTGTGAAAACAGGGATCATAGCTGCAGCTGAATACCACACAAGGAAATCTGTTGAACAGCTGGAGTTGTACAGTCTGAGGGGCTGACAATTGTTACATTATCCAAGTCCAGTACACAAGAAAGGGGCTCACTGTAAATAAGCTATCAAGGAGAAGTTGTTACATACGCAACTTGCCTTGAGGAGAAAGGGTGATGGTGAATAAGTGTGACTGAAACCTACAGAGATTATTCTGTATTTCAAGTCTTTCATGATAACAGGACAAGAAATAGCAATTTTTTTCCTTGTCCTTATTGCATACAGATGGGAGAATTTCTACTAATAATATGTTTCTCTGAGTTTTTTTATGATTCTAATTTTGACTTTGTTGTCCAATGTTATTATACATAAAAAAGCAGTATGTAATACTATGTATTATGTTATGTCATGTATACTATTATATAATGTACATGTTGAGGGAACCCTCTGATACATAAGGTACAGGGGTAGGCAGCAGGTAGAAGTAAGACCAAGCATTGTTGTAAATGCTTGACATTTTGGTTTACCCTGCATTGTTCGTACATGTAGTAAAAGATAAGATTAACATTCAGATAAAGGTTTAAGACTGATTTATAATGTGCCTTGTATAGAAAATACATGAAAAAATGAAGCAGCTACAGTAAATGTAGGTTGAATGGAACAGCTCGTGAAAGTTGGTGTCAATTTGCTGAGATCCCTTACGAGAAAACAGAGGCAGAGAAGGCAGCTTCATGTCTGACAGTGTTCTTGTAAGTTAAATGCTGCCTGACTTCAAGTAGCAGAAACAAGAGAAGTAATTTGGCCCTCATGATCAGAGATTACCTTCCAGCCGGTTTTGACCTAATTATTCTGAAGAAGTTGCTGGTGACTACTAGCTGTAGTTTCCATGTTTTTCCTGGTAGGCTAACCCTGCTCTCTGCCTGTAGGCTAACAATGTTGCCAGGTGCTAATCTGTTGATGTAGCTTGGCTCCTTGGAGTACTGATGTCATTATTTTCTACCTAAGGTCTGGGCTGTCAGTCAGATCTAAAGTTCATAATTTTTGTGGACTATGGTATTTCCTTGAATCAACTTTTTTTTTGTCATGTTCTTCAGCCGGATACAAATCTGCACATCAAATTAGTTTTACTACCTTACTAAATGTAGTATCCTTGGAAATTTAAGGTTGTACCCTAGCCCATCCCAATCATGTCTGATGTATGGAGGTCCAACTGGGATGGGTAATATTAGTGAGAAAACAGAGATACTGCAAAATAACAGAGACTTAGTGATAGATAGTTCAACATTATTGTTTCACTAATTGGTGACAAATATCCATGTCTGAATAAGATACACAAGATGTATCCAATGAAATACCAGAGACACCATTCCAGACCCATGTCTCTGCAGTTTTAAACTACACCTTGATTCAGTTTTGATACTAATTTCTTTTCTAAGTTGGATGACTGAAGTTGGAATATAAAGTTTTCATCTATGCATGCATTTTGATAAAAAGTCTTGAATGAAGTTGGTTTTGATTCTTTTGAGTGATGAACTGAAAAGGTTGTAATATGCTGTAGTATTGTACAAAAGATGGTGGATAGATAATCCTATATAGATCAGCTAAACTGATAGTTTACTTTTGTAAAGAGCTATAGAGGAATTATGAGATTGTAGCTACAGTGTATAGTTACAACCGATATAGAAAATATTGCATATATCTTGAGAAGTAAAATGCAGTTGCAAGGCTGCTACAGTACTGGTGTAGCTTAACAGCTGTGTTTAGGATGAGCAAAATTTCACTTCAGTTGTAAACGGAATTGGCTGATGAACCTGTAGAGGCCATTGCCAAATAAAAGCGATCTCTGGTTGACTTCCAATGTTTTGTGTACGTGTGATTCACTCTGAAAAAATGCTACCACTATTGATGACAGGGTACATGTACCTTAAGCTCTGTCATTTATTGACGTTCTCCCAACCAAATGAAACAGTGAATATTTAACAGTTCATGCATGTTCTTTAAACCGTACACTGAACAACAATTCTGCAGCGTGCAATATACAAAGTTTTATCGAAGTACTTACTCATGTGGGAGTTACAGAATCAGTACACTCAAATCGGACTCTTTTGTTTCTCCAACAGAAAGTGTAAGGGTACTACAATAATGTATGGATTCCTACACTTTTAACATGATCACCCTTTCATTTCAATTTTTAGAAACCATTTCCTTTTCCTTCTACAATTTTTGGGAAAGCCCCGCTTTGGAAATGGAAGGGCTCAAAGCTGTGTGAGAACTAAAAGAACAGTTCACATGAAAACAAGTTAAATTTGACAACAATGTTTCATTTTGTTGCTGTGATAAAGGAATTTCATATCAAAAAACTTCATTTTAAAGTCTTGTACAATGTAGTTGAACCAGTGGACTTTGTTTTCTTAGAACCCAAATATCATATACACTGAAAAACTGGACTGGAGCTTAAAACTTTTCCAAACAATTCCCTAAGCTGTGCACTTTCTGAAGTGCAAAATGGGCAACTCGATCAGTTGATTCTGATCTGATTCATATCGCAGTACGTATGGTTGATTATTACCAACTTATTTTCCTTCCCTCCTGGTTGAAGGGAACCCTCAATAACTTTTTTGAACATACAGGTTTACTCACTTTTATTTAGTACGCATTCGTAAGTTGCATTAATATTGTTTCTATTCAAGCTGATACATGTACGTGTATTTTGCTCAATGTACAACCGAGTGTTTACGTGATGTACTGGTTCACAGCCTCACCCAAAACAAGCACAACTGAAATTTAGGGGTATGAAGCCTCTTACAAACATCCACTAAAACTGAAATCATGATCATTGCAGGCAATGCTGGAAAGAACAGGGAAAGTGACAGCACAGTAAAGAGGGCGTCTCATGAGATTTAATGTCCAAGGTTTTTCCCACTTACAACTAACCTTTAATAGTGATTTTCAAAAAAGGCATTGCCTGCAAAGTAAGACTTCAGTGGACATTCATAAAGGGTCTCATCATTCATAGCTAGACTACAAAATCTGAGTTATGCCCCTGTTTCTTAGGCTGAGAACTTGTTCAATACCCCTCCTCAACTATCCACCAGATGGAAAGACCCTTATGTTAATGCTATACTTTATGTCATCTTTATGTTTACATTTGTATTATGTTTTATGAGCAGCGGATTTACATAAGCACAACAAGTGCTTCCTATCCGATGCTCAAAAATCCATGTGAATAAAAGAAAAGAAAGACCCTTAATTTGCTCACTCCTCTCCATTGTTTGGTGCGCCCCAGCTTATGTTCACTGTCTGTTTGGGACTGCCGCTGCTTGTCATGGAGACTGTGGACGAGTTGGGAGGCTTGCTCTCTTCGCACTCAGTCATGGTTGTCTCAGCCATGAAGTACCAGGTGTTGTCCTCGGACTTGACCTCGGAGGAGGCGGGCTGGTTCTCCTGGCTCATCAGCAGCTCCTTGATGGAGTGTCGGATCTCCTGGTTCTCGTCGTTCGCGAGGGAACCGTCGTCATCCCGGGGAGGCGCACTGGTGGCGTCGCTGTTGGACGGAGACCTCTCTCCCTCGGGTGAGCTGTGTTTGGAGTGGGCTGGGGAGGCGTACAGGTTGATCAGAGCTTCTGCAGCTGCATGGTCAGCTGCGCCCCCTTGTGACGCTGCAAGGAAGTGCACAGTTTTAGCAGTATTGGTCCATGTTCCCCTCAGGTATAAACATGGCACTAAACAGTCTTCATTTAATTGACCACAAGGGACCAAGAAAATTTAGTCTATGTGGACAGATGCCTGTAGACACTATAGACAAGATTTTTAACGCTTGTGCGGATGGGAGAAATTATCTAAGAGACCACCAAAAAGTGGTCACATTGGCCAGGTGGTACGTATGTAGAGGTGCATGGTCACTTGTACAGGTTTGACTGTACCAATATTCCTATGAAAAAGGTTTGATTTCACAATATTGTCAACCATGAACAAATAGTGTCCCTAACCTTGACTGCTTGTGTTACTGTCTCCATCAGAGAAGCTGAGAGACCTGGCGATGGGTGTGGGCTGACCGTAGCGCCGGCTGTACCCTGGCATCGACGGGGAGACATTCTGCCAGGGAATAAAGTTCGGGGAGATTAAATTAAGCCCTTGTCACTCATTGAAGATCTACAACTCCCGAACACTCCCGGACCAAGGTTTTCACGAGAACTATTGTGGAGAAGATGCTCACTACCACCAAGTACAGTAATAATGGCATCAGGCGTGATCACTTAGTCTAGATATGATCAACAATATATATTCAACAGCAATTGCAGTTGCAAAGGTTAGGTGTAATAAGTCATTCAGTGTAAGATAACGATCAATCAAGCTGGTATGTCAGGCAGAAGGGTTAATACAGATAGAGAAATCTACCTGTGGTTTCTCCTGCTTGGGAGTCTGCAGCGCCCCATGTTGAGTCAGGACCCTGGACTGCAGCTGTGCCCCAGGGTGGACAGGGGAGAAGGCAGAGCTGTACTCCCCCACGGTGGGGAGCACGGAGACGGGACTGAGGGTGTGGGGCAGGGGCAGGGTGGTGGGGGTGGGGCTGGGATACTGCAGGGGTGGGGCTGACTTCTGGGTGCACTCCAGCTCCCTCTGGTAGGCGTGGCAGGCGATGATGTTCTCTATGGCTCGGACTATGTCACCAGAACAGCGATCTACATGTAGAAGTGTTCAAGTCAAAGTCAGTTTGTAACAGGTATTACAGCGTAAGTAAGGCGAAGCTAATTACATTAATCTACTGGTATTACGATCTTCACATAGATTCTAACTTATTCAGGCTTCTTGCAGGGAATTGAAGCAATAAAAGAAGAGCCTTGCCTTCCATCTTCTCTTGTTTGATAGCACAGATACACAGAGAGGTATGTGTCAGTAAGTCAGTAATGAGCTTGATGAGCCTGTAAGGACTGAAGTACTCTTTTTATGGACTCCTGAACGGTCAACTTTTTGCAACTCAAGCAGCAATTTGAACATTTAGACATACAAAGTAATCTCCAAGCAGATATTTCAGTGGCAAAGTCATAGCAAATCATCAAGACAGTATCCAATAGGCAAAACACAATACACTATCCAACAGGCTGTTGATAGGTAGCGATGCATAGAAAACGGTACATAGAAGGTCACAATCTTCAAATCAACCTCTGCTTGGAGGGTTATCGAAATGGCAAATTGTATGTAATTGATAATGCATGAGCTAAATCACCCTTGACACATTGATGAGTGACATACCTAAGATAATCTGCAGCACATGCGGTCGGTGTTCAGGGAAGATCTTACACAGCAGGGCCAGGTGGTTCGGAGCAAGATGTGGCGAGTAAGGTGACATGGGCGCCTGGTTAGCGTAGTACGCGTTGGTGATCTGGTGCAGGTTTGCCACGGGACTGCCCATGCCTGCGATGGGGCTTCCCAGGGGAGCCTGCAGGGGGCTGGGCAGGTAGTTGGGCATCATCGGGATTTGATTGACAGGTGTCAGTTGTTGTGGAAGGGGCCTGGGAGTGACGGGGGACTGTTCCATCTTGAGTATGGGGGTGGGCTGGGTGGCCAAGGTTGGAGGGGAGATGCAGTCAGGAGTGGTTGAAGATGAGTATGGGTGCATGCGCCTAGTTTCTGGGAAAAACAAAAAATAGCAAACTTTTAATAAGATGCTTACAGGTGGCACTGCAGGCTGAACATGATATCAGATACGGATGCTAATATAGAGGTGTTAGGGTACAGGTCTGGATCTGAACAACTTAAGAGTGGGCTTAAAGGATGACAGAATTACGGAGACATGAACAGTTCGCAGTTAACAGAATGTTAACAGAATTTAGACTTCAGATATCAAAAGGCTTTCAAATTATTTTCCAGTACTGTGTAGTGTGTAAGTTTTTGCTGACCTGTGTAATCATCAGGACTGACACTGCTGCAGCTCCTGCTGGCCGGGCGGCTTCCTCCCCGGGAGCACGGGAGCCGGGGCGAGATGCGGACCGCGACGACGACCGCGAGGCAGCACGGGAGGACGGACGGGACCCGCCACGGGACTTGGGCAGTTCCATGCCCTGCATGGGGGAGGGGGTGCTCTGTCTGCTCTTGTCTTCAGCGTCTTGTGCACGGCGAAGGGCGACCTGGGCCGCCATGACACGTCTGCGCTCGCTGTGAAGAGTGGAGGGATGAGATACAGAAGGTCACAACTAGACATGAAGGTCTATTTCAGGGCTGGAAATTCATTTTTACCGGAAGAAATTTCTAGATTTTCTAGCTACCTGGTAGCTAGCCAGCTGTTGGTGATAGTATTAACGTTATATAGCCTACCTACATAACAGTCATGGCTAAAAACACTGAATGTAATCAAAGTTGAGCTTTCTTGGAGTATTGGGCTTGAACTTCATTGTGGAATAGGTGCACTGGTACACCTATCCTAGAAAAATTAGGTGCACAGAGAAAATTGTCATCAAAACCTTGAATCAAGAGCTTGATTCTGAAATTCTATAACTAAGTTTTGAATGAATGATGCAACAAAGGTTTTGATCTTTGTTGCTGACACTTAAATGTCAAGAATGTGCTCAATTCTAGTGTACAGTAAGTAGTACCTCTATGTATTTTACATGTTCCCCACACAAATATCTAGGTGCACCAGTGCAACCACAGTCAAACACAGCTCCAATTTTGGTGTGCACCCAGAATTTCGAGCCCTGCATTTACATCAGAGATTTCTATTTACAGGGTACTCACACAATCAGGTAGCACTTTGGGCATTCACAGTCCTTCCACTGGCACCTCTTCTTGTGGCCCTTAAGGAGGGCGGAGACACCGTGGTTCCTACAACGAGCGCACATCGGCGGCCGACAGGCAATCGTCTTGAAGGTCAAGGGTGCCTCCATCTTCACTTGACCTAATTCTGTTGAGAGGAATATGATGTTGTTAACAATCAACCAACCAATCAACCAAAATGGTTTACTAGTATCTCACAGGGTAGACAAGCCTTGCATAGAATCCCAGGGAAGACATCACTGCACAGTCAATACTAGCACAGAAAATCCAGGGTGATGGCCCTGCAATAATGTGTGAAGGTGTTGAAATTTTTATTTCAGTATGTAATGCCCAACATGCAATAAATGAATTTACCAAAATCGTTGATTGATCAAACAAGAAACATGCAATTACATTCTGTTGCACAAAGTTCTATTGCACAAAAATAGTCAATGTAAAATTATAAATTGTTCTGGAGAATTAAGTTAGAATATCATTAGAGCGGTCTAAGTCATGGTTACACATAGATTGAAAACGTAGGTTAAATGTTGACAAATGTTGGGATCTTAGATTATACAGGCATTATGATACAGAAATGCTCACATTTCTTGCATACTTGCAAAAAAAAACTCGGGATTTTTAAGTTTCAACACTTATGATCAATTAAAGTTCTTTCACAATATTGTAGGGAAAGGGAATATGCCATGCCTCTTTATTAAGAAAAAAATCCCAAAGTTGCTAGCTAGGGATTAATTTTTTTCCCCATTCTTGCGTACCAAGAGTGAAGACATAACGACAGCCATACCGCTGTAACGTTACATGGTTTTAAAGTTGGGCATTATTTTCCCCTTCTTTCGGCTTCAAAAATATATTTCCCCGGTTAGCTAAGTTACAACAGCACACATAAGGAGCACCTACAAGCTAAATGGAGTAATGTATGAATCAGAAATTCATATGCAAAGCCAATGATTACAAGTAAGTGATTACTACGGTTTGCGTGATGTCGTAATGTTGGCGCTTGTTTGGAATTTGAATTTTCGCGCCAAAACAATATCAGGCGGGTCTGACAGAAATTGAAAAAAAACGAAAAAAAATGCTTCTGCGTTTTTGTTATATAATGACTAACGCTAATGATAATCATGCTGTTGACGTAAACAGTGCTTGTAGTAAGTTGTATTGAACGTTTGACTCGGAAGATCGTTGCCGGTTTGTTATGATATGATGATCCATTTCAGAAATTCAATACCTGGATACGGATACCGGGAGAGATAGTCAAAATGGTCCAAAGCTTGAATAAATCTCAACTGCAAATGCAAAAGTCCTCAAATCGACAGTCTGTCCAGAAACTACACTGTTGGTCACTGGAAGTGTTAAAAATCAGACTTATGAAACGTGTAATTCTTATGTGTTTTCAAGTTTTGCAAGAATCTTTTGGTATACCGGACAGCTGTGGCCTCTGACAGCGTATCTTTGAACTTTCAAGAATAGGTTTTGCAGGTAAATTTCGACAAGCTATGAAAAGGTTTAGCTTTGAAGGTCTTGCACACGTGGAACTTCAACTGGTGCTATAAAGTGTGAAACCACTGCGTGGTCAATGTACAAGAAATGCAGCGGTCTGTCGTCTGCACCCCTACGATCTGTTGTGCTTCAATCCAATGATTCATTTAAGATCCATAACGCAAGACTTTTGGTGACACATTAATGTTTGCAAATTTTTATCGTTCTCCCAAAAAGTCTAAATTAAGACCTCCCTGAAACTGTTCATTAAGCGTCAGTCTGTGGTTTAAAACTGGCTCAGCTTGAACGAGACAAATTTTCATGCAGCGATATGAAATGAAAATGATATGACATTTCGAAGGTTTCACCAACAGAAATTACTGTGTGCTATGGAAATCATTTGCATATATCTCAATTATGCATAACCAACTACTTACACAAAACTAAAGAACTCGTTGATAAGGCATCACCCACCTGTTGATGAAATCTGTGTCTGTTGACGAAATCAACAGCAAAGACTGTGAAATAAGACTGCACAAGGAAGGAATGGTGTGCTCTTGCCGGCCGGTGGATTTGGGGTATCGAGTATACCGCTAGCCCGTCGACTTACACCAACGTGGTTTCCAACGGTGGCCAATCAACTACTGAGATTTTGCTAAGTTGTTTAAAAACTACCAATTACAGGAAAGTGTCGGTTTCGCAGCGCCTGCCTGACCAACCAAGAAGACCCAAGTATCACACTTTTTGGGTGGTCACTTTTGTAGCTCCGCCCACATTGGAATTAATGCAACAGGGTAGCCAATCAGGAGCGTGTAACAACTTTGTGACAGTCTCCAGGCGAT